TGATATATCAATTAAACAAAAAAAATTTGACAGTTGACAGTTCTTAACCTAACTTTTTTAATTTTTAACGGAAATATGTCGAGTTTGGTATCAAATTAACGGATTTTTAATTATCCTTAAGATTACGTTTTTTGTTATGTCCTTAAATCGTTAGTTTTTTTTAGATAAGTTTTTTATTCAAAATAGATGTTGGGAAATGAAAGAAAACTAAAAATGCTTTAAAACGAGTCTAAACTCGATGCATTTACCTTTATTTATTGTTGATATATCAATTAAACAAAAAAAATTTGACAGTTGACAGTTCTTAACCTAACTTTTTTAATTTTTAACGGAAATATGTCGAGTTTGGTATCAAATTAACGGATTTTTAATNTTTTTGTAAAATTTGATGATTTTAGAAAGATATGAAACCGGGATGTTTTAACTGTCAAAACTTTGACTAAAAGGGTTGCCGCTAGATGGGGTGAGCAACTATTTAAACGAGAAAAAATTTTGTTGATTAAATAAAATAAAAATCGTAAAGGTTCGAAATCTTTACCCAAATGAAGATTCATTTACCCTTTTATTCATCAAATAAGTTCGTTCATTAATTCCACTTTTTTTCTAAGAAATAAATTAAAACTAATCAGAAACGTCACATTCTAAGCGCCATCTATCCGTGATTCTAAAAATAACTCGTATAGATGTGAGTTTTTTTTTTTTTTAATTTGAATTTAAATAACTTATAATTCAAGGAATCAAAAATTGAATGATTTAAAATTGATAAAATCAATCGACTTACTATGTATTAGTTGTAATAAATTCTTAAATCCTCAAAATTTTTAAATGACGCGATGAAAGTTAGGTTGGTTTCGTTTCTTCTTCAATTTTAGGGAAAAAATCANTGATATATCAATTAAACAAAAAAAATTTGACAGTTGACAGTTCTTAACCTAACTTTTTTAATTTTTAACGGAAATATGTCGAGTTTGGTATCAAATTAACGGATTTTTAATGATCTTTAAGATTACGTTTTTTGTTATGTCCCTAAATCGTTAGTTTGTATTAGATAATTTTTTTATTCAAAGTAGATGTTGGGAAATTAATGAAAACTAAAAATGCTTTAAAACGAGTCTAATCTCGATGCATTTACCTTTATTTATTGTTGGATATATCAATTAAATAAAAAAATTTGACAGTTGACGTTAACTTTTTGACGTTTCATTACAAAATTTATTTAACTCACTCAATTTTAGAAATAATAGAAGCTCGTTTTAATAACTCGTACATGTTTTACGTTATAAAGAAAATCAAATAGTAATTCGTATTTATCGTGGTTCAAATTAGGTTAAAATATTTGACATGATGAGAAGATAGTTGCAAACGTATATTTTAAGGCTTTTTCGGCAGGTGGCGCTATCTCTTATGCTTCTTAAAGTGAAATTTTTTGACGTTTCATCTTTAACTCATTTTTCGTTAGAAATAAAACTAAAACTAGAAATTTTGAGGTTAATATACCTCAAAACCTCTACATAACCTCAAAATTGAATTGAACAAATTTCTAGTTTTAGTTTTATTTCTTATTCCGTCGGCAGTAATGGTTGGAAAAATGTCATTTGAAAAAGTGAGGTTAGGTTGGGTTGAATGGATGTTTCGTATCTTCTGAGTTTATTTTTTGTGGCTGTTTCAAGCGAGATCGCTTCTTATGAATCGCTAATATGAAAGAAAATCTTCGAGGACGCACTGAGTGAGTAAAATAATTTTTATTTAATGAAACGTCAAAAAAATTTCATTTGGAAAAGTTTCATAAAATTGACAAATCGTTGTTAAGTTGGTTACATCGAATTTGTGTCACATTGACGTTTAAACTTTATTTAAGAAAATAAATTTATTTAATCAATCTTAATAATAGTCGTGGACAAAGGTTAACTCAAGTTAATTACGATATTAATTAATATAATAATAATTATTATATTTAATTGCAGCGAAGAGATAATAAAATTAAAAGCAGAAAAAGAAGAAATCGAAATAATATTCTCAAACATCCTCGACATCTACGAACTAACCGTCACTTTATTGGGAAGTTTAGAAGACGTGATAGAAATGGCGCAAGATCAAATGCCCTTTATCGGGAGTTGTTTCGAAGAATTAGTCGAAGCCAAAGAATTCGACGTTTACATCCAATACGCGGCCGATGTCACATCATCAAAGTGCCGGGAAACTTTAAACGGTCTCCTAGGAAAGCCCCAAATCCAAAATTTATTGTTATCCGCCGGACAAGGAATGAGATTATCGCTAAAATATTATCTCCCCGCTTTATTACAAAGCCCAATTTTTCATTGTTTCGCTTATTTGGATTACGTCCGGCAACTTTGCGAGCTTTCAAAGCTCCCCGACGACAAAGAAACGCTAATTGAAGTCGAGGGGCAATTAAATCCGTTAATATCCGAGTTGGGGAGATACGCCTCCGCAAAAACGGTCGTGAGACAACCTCAAAATCAAATTTTACGATCGCGGAGGGAACAGGCGATTTCAAAAATACACGAATTGGAGAAAATGGTTGAAAATTGGGACTCGAAAGACTTAGGGCAATGTTGTAACGAGTTCGTTCGAGAGGATATGTTGATGAAGGTTTCTTCAGGAAAGCGTTTAACCGAACGAAGAGTCTTTTTATTCGACGGTTTATTAATATTATGCAAACCAAATCCGCGAAGACAAAGCTCCGTTCATGGAAATCACCACCACGATTGTCGATTAAAAGAGCGCTTTTTTATCCGTATGGTTGAAATCGTCGATTTACCCGACACCGAAGATTTAAAGAATGTTTTCGAAATTTGCCCGCGGGGGCAACCCCCTATCGTTTTATCGTGCAAAAACGGCGACGATAAAAACAGTTGGTTAGCGGATTTGGTGATGTTAAATAATCGCTCGATGTTGGAACGAATTTTAGATAGCATTTTATCCGACATCGAACGAAAACATCCTTTAAAATTGCCGTCTCCGGAAATTTATAAATTCGCCGAACCCGATTCGAAAGACAACATAGTTTTGGAACAACGCGAAAACGGGGGTGGTGTCCCTTTAATAAAAGGGGCCACTATTTACAAATTAGTCGAACGATTAACTTACCACATCTACGCCGATCCGAAATTTGTAAAAACTTTTTTAACAACTTATCGGAGTTTTTGCGCCCCCACGGAACTCCTAAAATTATTAATCGAGCGTTTTCACATTCCCGATCCTAGCCTAGTTTACGAACAAGAATCAACTGGAAATGATAACTCGGATAAGATGCAAAAAAATTCGCAACGGGAGGATTGGAAGCGTTATCGAAAAGAATACGTCCAACCGGTTCAATTCCGCGTTTTAAACGTGTTAAGACATTGGGTGGATCATCATTTTTACGACTTCGAGAGGGACCCGGCTTTATTGGCGGAATTAGAGAAGTTTTTGGACTCTGTGAATGGGAAGAGTATGCGAAAATGGGTCGATAGCGTGGTTAAGATCGTCCAAAGGAAATTAGAACCGGACGCGCAACGATTAATCAAGTTTAATTTCGATGATCAAGCCCCAAACATCGAGTGGCACTTGACGCAGAATGAGGAGGATTTTGGAATTTTAACTTTACACCCGTTAGAAATTGCCCGGCAGTTAACAATACTCGATTTTGATTTGTACAGGACGATTAAGCCCTCGGAATTGGTGGGGTGTGTTTGGACCAAGAAAGATAAGGAAAAAACTAGCCCCAATTTATTAAGGATGATTAAACATACTAATAATGTAAGTATTAATTTAAAATTATACTAAACTAGTTTAGAAGCTAATTAATTTTCGTAAAAAAGAACATGACGTTTCATAAAATTGACATTTAATTTTGACAAATCGTTGTGAAGTTGGTTACATTAAATTTAAATTAAAAACGATATGTCGAAATCCCACCGTAAGATGGCATTAGCGTCTATACTAAAATAATTTAATTAAGCTAACAATTTTATTATTAATAGTAGGAATGATAAGAAACAGCAATAACAATTATTACCAGTATCATTCAGTATAGATTCCAATTCGTGTTATATTTTTAAATTTGCCACTAAGAATTTTGTTCAGAATGACAGATGAAAACGTCATTTTAAAGTATTTTTTCGGTAGGGGTATAATAAAGTAATATGATTAAATAACTAAATTATAATTGACATTATAGCTTTGTTTCAGCTAACGTTCTAAGTTGTTGAAAGCTCCTTAGATGCAATCTCACATGTCATATGACGCAGTGACATTCAAATGTGTGGCATTATTTGACAGGTGTAATTGCCATAAGTAATTGCATCTGAGGAATTCCCAACCAGTCGGAACGTTAATTGGAGCCATTAGTGGCTCCAAACAGTTATTCTGTGGTTGGAGCTTTTATATATAAACCCAATCCAACCTGTATTCTAATGGTTCGGTTCTTTGCTGAATAATTTCAAAATATCCCCAACAGATGGTGCCACATGCGTTGATTAATTAAAATAAAAATCGTAAAGGTTCGAAATCTTTACCCAAATGAAGATTCATTTACCCTTTTATTCATCAAATAAGTTCGTTCATTAATTCCACTTTTTCTCTAAGAAATAAATTAAAATTAATTAGAAACGTCACATTCTAAGCGCCATCTATCCGTGATTCTAAAAATAACTCGTATAGATTGTGAGTTTTTTTTTAATTTGAATTAAAATAACTTATAATTCAAGGAATCAATGATTGAATGATTTAAAATTGATAAAATCAATCGACTTACTATGTATTAGTTGTAATAAATTCTTAAATCCTCAAAATTTTTAAATGACGCGATGAAAGTTAGGTTGGTTTCGTTTCTTCTTCAATTTTGGGGAAAAATCACTTCTTGGAATCTTTAATCACATTAAATAAGTAGTTTGAGAGCTCAAAAACATATTTTGATGGAGATTTTGATTCAATTAAGCTTATTTTTTGTAAAATTTGATGATTTTAGAAAGATATGAAACCGGGATGTTTTAACTGTCAAAACTTTGATTAAAAGGGTTGCCGCTAGATGGGGTGAGCAACTATTTAAACGAGAACAAATTTATAAATTAAATATAATTTTTATTAATTTAATTTTATAGATTTAATCGTTTAGTAATTTAATCTAGGGAATTTAATGTTTTTATACTGTGGATGTCATCTATGGAGTGAAGTAACAATTAAAATAGTAACAGTGTGACGTTAGTTTTTAAAATATGCTGTCAGTTGTCATATCATGTCTTTTTACTTACAAAATTAAGCAATTAAAAAATGTTTTGAAAAACCTTCGTTTACGAGTTTATCGTATAATATAATCAAGCTAAAACATACAGAATCATATTGCTCTGTGTAAAAACTTTTAAAAACTTTAATATATTTGTTTTAGTTAACTCTTTGGTACGAAAAGAATATCGTTGAGGCCGAGAATTTCGAAGAACGAGTAGCAATCGTAAACCGGATAATCGAAATAATGACTTATTTAGATGAATTAAACAATTTTAACGCAGTCCTTGCGATCGTATCAGCAATGGGATCAGCTTCCGTTCACCGCTTAAAATTTACCTACCAAAGTATATCCCAAACGAATCGAAAGGCCCTCGAAGAATGCCGAGCCGCCGATAATCACTTCAAAAAGTACCAAGAAAAACTGCGATCAATAAACCCCCCTTGCGTCCCATTTTTAGGAATGTACCTAACAAATATTTTTTTATTAGAAGAAGGTAACCAAGATTTCATTCAAGACACTCAATTAATTAACTTTTTTAAACGAAGAAAAGTCGCCGAAATCACCGGCGAGATCCAACAGTATCAAAACCAACCGTACGCTTACAAAGTCGAGCCGAAAATTCGAAAATTCTTGGAGAATTTAAGCCCGTTCGGGGAAATGTCTGATAACGAGATTAGTAATTATTTATTTAATAAGTCGATTGAAATCGAGCCGAGGGGCTCGAAGCAAGTGCCGAAATTCCCCCGGAAATGGCCCCATTTATCACTAAAAAGTCCCGGAACGAAAGCGTCTAATCGAAGAATTAAAGAACTTGCGAATATAACCGCTACAACTACGGCGATTGTGAACTCAACGGTTCAAAAAATTGAGGAAAAAATTGTCGATGGTGGCGAAGAGAAGAAATCGGCGGATAAAACGGATAATAGCGATATTAGTGTATTTGCGCCTGTTCAAATACCAACGGCGGGGTGTCAAAGTAGTCCCACTTTGAGTCCTAATTCACCAGCGGCGACTTCGTTTCCCCCTTTTACACATAGTAGACATCCAAGTATTTGTTCTGTTACATCACAATTTACTCACAGGACGTCGATATCATCTAACAGTCAACCGCTGTAAGTTTTTTCTTTAATTATTTTTATTAATTATAAAACGCGTTGTTTTAGACCCCCAAAAAATAGTACTGGAAGTCCTGGCCCGCATAGCCCCGCTTCACCAGGTCCGCATTTCCCATTAAGCGCCATCTCTGGAGAGCCGATTAGCCCACATATTCCATCAACTCCCCCTCCCGTACCACCACGTCGACGACGAGATAGCCCCGAAATTAGTTCTCCACAACAATTGAAGCAAGCACCGGATGCCCCAACGTTACCACCGAGGGATATTTCACCCCCACCGTTACCGCCCCGAATCGGAAGTGGAACTTTACCCCGATTAACCCCCACTCATTTATCGCAATTACATATTCGGAGGCATTCGACGATGCATCATCCGAACGCGCCAAGACAAATTAATGGGGGGACACCGTAAGTTTAATTAATTAATTAATTTAAAATAATTTAAGTAACATTTTTGTTTTTGAGAAAAACAAAAAAAAAGATATATTTTCTAATTTAAACAGTGTTCACGATTTTTTTTTATTACAAATTGCATATACAGTGTGTCCGTGAAGTAACGGATATAGGCGATTATAAACGGTTTATGGAAAAAATCCTTGAAACGGGTCTAAACATTTAAATTTTTTTCCCCATTTCGTCGAATATGAAAGAGGATCTTTTTCTGAATCTAATACACTCAATATTAGTATGGTTACATAAGAAAATTTTCGAGAAAAATTGCTTTAAAGATTAACTTCTTTCAAATTTGCTGACAAAAGCTGGTTATTATTATAGGTTAACCTATGCAGTAACCATAAAAAGTTTTTACGGCGAATACCTAGAACTAAAAACTATTTTGAAAGAGTTTCGAGCACGGCTAAACTTTCAGGTGTTAATCTCAACTTTAATTTTATTGTTATATTCGTAATTTTCATAAAATAACCTTTAAAATGAGTCCAAATATGACGCAGTTATCTCAAAAAACAAAAAAAAAATGAACTTTCAACTTTAATTTTGACACATTTGTCAACTTTATAAAAAATCTTTTAAAATGAGTACAAACACGACATATTTAACTTTAATATTAATGAAGATGTGATCACTTCCGGTTTGAAACGTCAATTTTGACATATTTGTCATCTTCATTAAAAAACCTTTAAAATGAGTCCAAACATGACATACTTATTTCAAAAAACAAAAAAGTTAGAATAAAAAACATTAGACCGGAAGTTGGCAACAATGAAGATAGCAATTTAATTTTTAAATATTAATACCAACCTTAATTTTTGATTTTTTTATTATATTTTTGTTTTTGTGACAAATATTAAGACATTTTATAAAAATGAAGAATATGTCAAAATGACATTGACATTTTAAACCGGAAGTTGACCATAACTTCATTAATATTGGAGATAAATATGTCGTGTTTGTACTCATTTTAAAGGATTTTTAATGAAGATTACAAATATGTCAAAATTGAGGTTGTCATTTTAAACCTGAAGTTAGTTGTTATATAATAGACAAATGGAGAACTTCATGGTGTTCTTTCATGACGTATTCTTTATTAAAAACACTTTTCATATGAGTCCAAAGATGATGCATTTCTCTCAAAAAACTAAAAAGAAAATAAAAAACATTAATCTTGAATGTTTTTAGTGCTAGGTCTAGTGTTAGTTCTAATTTTATACTAGCACTATCACTAGAACTAACACAAGATCTAGAAATAGAATTATTCTGGTTTAGCCATCTTGAAAAACGTGCGACTAAACTCGAATGTTTCTACTTCTAGGTCTTGTATTAGTTCTAGTGATAGTGCTAGTGTAAAACTAGAATTAACACTAGACCTAGAATCATTCGAGTTTAGCCGTCTTGAGAGACGTGCGGCTAAACCCGAATGTTTCTAGTTCTAGTGTTAGTTCTAGTTTTTGTCTTAAAATTAATTTTTTATCATAACTTCTCTAGCTGGTTCAGCTCTGTTATATCCAAAAACATATGATTTAGATCCCCGTATTGCCCACATATTATTACTAGATTTATTTTTAAAATTATTTTTAATTATTTATTTTGAGGTTAGATTTCACTTTTTTGACATTTCAACGATTTATTAATTGAACGTATTCAAAGTCGATAATACAGGAACTTCTCATTAAACGTTAATTTTTTGTTGTTGCTCATTTTATTGAACGTATTCAAATTAGTTATTTTTTAAAATTTATTTAAATTAATTTTTAAATAAATAATTATAAACGAATTAATTAAAAAAAAATCATTTTAAATAAATTAATTAATTTACATTAATAAAATAATTACTTTAATTAAGAACGTATCCAAAAGCCGATAAAGCAGATATATGTCATTAAACGTCAATTTTATAGTGTTACATAGTGTATTAAATAAGGTAAAAAATTCTTTGATATAAATGAACAAATTTCAAACCATGGTTTAGAGATGAGGTGCCTCTGTACTGCCTTGTAGGATGTTCCCTTCAAATTCAGTGAATTTTCCGCCTCCCAATTCCATCTTTCCCAAATTCTTCTTCTCTTCTCCAAAAACAGCTCACTTAGTTCTATCTTAATATTTATCCTTCCCATATCGTGATTTTCTGTATCCAACATGCTTATATACTTCTGTTTCCATATATGCCTCATATGATTTATGTTTTAATGTTGACTTTAATTTTATTATTATATTCGTGATCTTCATAAAATCAAACTTGACGTATTTATCTCAAAAAACAACTTTCAACTTTTAATTTTGACATATTTGTCAACTTCATAAAAAATTTATACGACATATTTATCTTCAATATTAATGGAGATAAATATGATCACTTCCTGTTTGAAACGTCAACGTCAATTTTGCAATATTTGTCATCTTCATTAAAAAACCTTTAAAATGAGTCCAAACATGATGCATTTATCTCAAAAAACAAAAAAGTTAGAATAAAAAACGTTAAACCCGAAGTTGGCAACAATGTTGATAGCAATTTAATTTTTAAATATTAATACCAACCTTAATTTTTGATTTTTTTTTTTATTATATTTTTGTTTTTGTGACAAATTTTAAGACATTTTATAAAATTAAGAATATATCAAAATGACATTGACATTTCAAACCGGAAATTGGTTATATCTCGAGTAAAATTGGAATTAATCGTATCATGTTTGGGCTCATTTTAAAGGATTTTTCATGACGATTACAAATATGTCAAAATTGAGGTTGACATTTCTAACCGGAAGTTGACCATAACTTCATTAATATTGAAGATAAATATATCGTGTTTGTACTCATTTTAAAGGATTTTTAATGACGATTACAAATATGTCAAAATTGAGGTTGACATTTCTAACCGGAAGTTGACCATAACTTCATTAATATTGAAGATAAATATATCGTGTTTGTACTCATTTTAAAGGATTTTTGATGAAGATTACAAATATGTCAAAATTGAAATTGACATTTTACATCTGAAGTTAGCTGTCATATATAGACAAATGGACAACTTCATGGTGTTCTTTCATAATGTATTCTTTATTAAAAAACCTTTAAAATGAGTCCAAACATGACGCATTTATCTCAAAAAACAAAAAAGTTAGAATAAAAAACGTTAAACCCGAAGTTGGCAACAATGAAGATAACAATTTAATTTTTAAATATTAATACCAACCTTAATTTTTGATTTTTTATTATATTTTTGTTTTTATCACAAATTTTAAGACATTTCATAAAATTAAGAATATATTAAGATGACATTGACATTTCAAACCGGAAGTTGCTTATATCTCGAGAAATATTGAAATTAAACGTATCATGTTTGGGCTCATTTTTAAGGATTTTTCATGACGATTACAAACATGTCAAAATTGAGGTTGACATTTCAACCGGAAGTTGACTATAACTTCATTAATATTGAAGATAAATATGTCGTGTTTGTACTCATTTTAAAGGATTTTTGATGAAGATTGCAAATATGTCAAAATTGAAGTAGACATTTTAAAACTGAGGTTAGTTGTTATACAGGGTGTTCAGAAATGTTGTTCTACTATGTTGCCAAATGTGTTTTACATGAAGATATGGTAATGAAAAAATGTTAAAAACGAACTTTAAAGCTAAAGAAAATAACTTTAACAAAAAAACTAGTTTTCAAAATTCTTTTTATCCTAAATTACAGCTTATTTATTAACAGATATTGAATATTGATGATTATTTATGGACAAATTATCCGACATTTGAAATTATTATCCGCCAATTTCTGAACACCTGTATAATAGACAAATTTACAACTTCATGGTGCTCTTTCATGATATATTCTTCTCTCCCACAATAAATGTGAGAGACTTATTAATCATACTTACTTTCTACTCCCAACGATAGGTCTACAACACGATAGTATTATCTCAAAATTGTTAAAAATGTTACTTAGCCCATTTCTGAAATAAACAATTCAATTGATTTAATTTTTTTTTTTTTTTAGAATCGCACAAGCGAAAAGTGTTTCACCCCGTTTCGTAAATGAAACATCCCCAGGACACGGAACGCCGAAATTGCCGCCTAAACCAGCGATAAAATCAGCTGGGTTAGCTTCTGGTACTGTTTTTCAATATCCTTCGACGACCACCTCCACCGCCACACAAAGCTGTTTCCGGTACGATTTTAAGGACTAGCGGTCGCTGTACGAGCCGTTTTGTTGCTTCTTCGATTTTTTATTGCAAGGTTGCCAACAGCAGCAGCAAAAAAAATAAATTAATGAAAAATTTATTTATCATCTATAATGAATTAATGAATGATAAATGTTTTTTTATTAATTTTTTTGTATATAGATGTACATAAATTATATACATAAAGAAGATTTAAAAAAAAGGAGGAGGATGAAAAAATATAAATAAAAAGAAGAAAGAATGATGTGGGTAAGACATTTTTTTAACCAAAACATAAATAAAATAGGGGGTTTATTATTTTAATTATTTTAATACTAAGTTATTAAAAAAATAAACTTCCTATTTATTACAAATTGAGATGACAGAAAAAGTATTATTTTAAAAAAAAGAGATATGGAGGGTTTTTTTTAAAGGTGGCCCCCTTTTTATGATTAAAAAGAAAAACAATGAGGTTAGTTTTTACGATTTTAGTTCCCTCCTTACTTTATGTGATCTGTGATACTAGTTATGGACCATGTTTGTAATAAAAAAAAATTAAAGAAAAAAATAAGACGAAAAAAGAGGTAATAATAATAATTAATAATAAAAAAATAAAGAGAATCCCACTTGTATATTGTTAATAACTATTAAGGAGCGAACAAAATATATATATATATTATAGAAAGAGAAATTGAGGGTGTATGATAAAAAGAATTATACAAATATATAAATATATTATCGAAAACCAAGATTATAAAGAAAAAAGATTAATAAATGTGTTAATGTATGCTATAAGTTAAATTAAACACTTTTTTTAATCCCTTTTTTGTGAATCCTCAATCCGTTCATCTCTTTTTGTAATCCAAAATTAATTATTTGTATTCTAATCCCCACTTGTATTTATTTAAATCGCCATTTTTAATAATGGCGATGATGGCGAGGTACTAATAAAAAAGAAAATTAACTATTGATCTCTAATTAGCAAAGTTGACTTAAAAGCTCTGACAATGAGAGGTCATCAGGCAAATCGTTGTAAGTACACAAATTTGCTTAGATAATACAAATACAACTAGACTAATTCTAACACTAGAACTCGGTCTTTCTGAGTACAAGTTGTGATTCTTTTTAAAAACTATGTGTTGCTTTAAATCGACTTGAACGATTAAAAATCAAATTTTATCAAAAAAAACATTAAAAGTCCTTTAAAATGATACCAAACACGATATGGTTATGTTAAAAAACAAAAAAGTTATCACAGTTTTGTTTTTGACAGAAACACGAAACAATTGAAGATCGTTTTCTATAAACGTCCATAACTCCCTTATTTATTAAGATAATGAAATGGTGTTTGGACTTAAATTAATCAAAATTTAGTGTAATTTTCATTTTGTTAATAATAAATTTATTTTTTTTTTTTTCAATATCAACGAACTGTCAAAAATGAAATGTCAAAAAAAAAACGATTTAATTTCAAATCGAATAAATCACGGCGAATCTTTACTGGATTATAATGACGTTCGATTTTTAGAATTAAATGGGTTTCTTAATAAAAATAAAAACCAAAATGCGACTTTAAAGATTATACTTTAATTTTAATTTTATGGCCATTCGAAAGAAAATGGAAAATCCTTTAAAATGATACCAAACTCGATGAGGTTATCTTTAAAAACAAAGAAGTTATGACACTTTTTCTTATGACAGAAACAAAAAACAATTGACGATCGTTTTCTTTAAACCCTCATAACTCCCTTATTTATTAAGATAATGAGATCGTGTTTGGACTTAAATTTAGCGAAATTTGATGTAGATTTCGTTTTTTAATAATAAATTTATTTTTTTTTAATATCGAAGAACTGTCAAAAATGAAATGTCGCCAAATTTGATTTAATTTTAAGTAAATTACTAATCAAGATCAATTTCTAAAATAAAAAGGGATTCTAATTTCGAATAAAAATCAAATTGCGATTTTAAAGTTGAAAATGGAACTTTGATTTTATGACCATTCGAAAGAAAATGGAAAATCCTTTAAAATGATACCAAACTCGACGAGGTTATCTTTAAAAACAAAGAAGTTATGACACTTTTTCTTATGACAGAAACCAAAAACAATTGACGATCGTTTTCTTTAAACCCCCATAACTCCCTTATTTGTTAAGATAATGAGATGGTGTTTGGACTTAAATTAAGTGAAATTTTATGTAGATTTCGTTTTTGTAATAATAAATTTATACTTTTTAACATTATCTAAAGACGCATGGCTAAACTCGATATTTTCTAGATCTAGTGTTAGTGCTAATTCTAGTACCACTGGTAGGTAGTGCTAGTTAGCATAAGGTATTACTAGTATGTTGGATATTTTTATTGGACTAAAACTAGAACTAACACTATACCTAGAACTAGAATCATTCGTTAAATATAATTTTATCCATGCTACAAGGAAACAATTATTTAGAACTGGAGGGAATCATATGGTAAGGTTGTAGAGATAGTGGAAGGTTTCCTGTATACATCATATTTTATTTCTATCCGGTAACATCTCGAATTTTGCTAGTGTAATTTTTGCTTAAAACTGACCAATAGCAACCTTTCTTTTTGGCGCTTCAATTTGAAAACACTCCTCCGAATTACAAAGTAGAGTATAACGTAATAGTCACTGACTTCTTTATCTTTTTGCGACTTTTTTTATGAAAAGAAAAATGGCAGGCGTTGTACCATTTTGAAAACTGGACTAATCAGGCCATCTTTTAAAATAACATGCCAAGGGTGTTTATGCATAAAATTTTCCTGCAGCGACTTTAGTTTTTGAGTTATGACAGGATTTATTAAACAAAAGTTGTAGAAATCGCGATCTTGGTGATTAGCACCCTGTATCTAGAAAATAATCTTGAATAGGCGTGTACAGGTTATGAATTATATCTTTTTTGATCATAACCAAGATTTTTTATGCATAAAATTTTCCTGCATCGATTTTAGTTTTTGAGTTATGACAGGATTTATTAAACCAAAGGTGTAGAAATCGCGATCTTGGTGATTAGCACCCTGTATCTAGAAAATAATCTTGAATAGGCGTGTACAGGTTATGAATTATATCTTTTTTGATCATAACCAAGATTTTTTATGCATCAAATTTTCCTACATCGATTTTAGTTTTTGAGTTATGACAGGATTTATTAAACCAAAGGTGTAGAAATCGCAATCTTGGTGATTAGCTCCCTGTATCTAGAAAATAATCTTGAATAGGCGTGTACAGGTTATGAATTATATCTGTTTTGATCATAACCAAGATTTTTTATGCATAAAATTTTCCTGCATCGACTTTAGTTTTTGAGTTATGACAGGATTTATTAAACCAAAGGTGTAGAAATCGCGATCTTGGTGATTAGCACCCTGTATCTAGAAAATAATCTTGAATAGGCGTGTACAGGTTATGAATTATATCTTTTTTGATCATAACCAAAATATTGTATGCATAAAATTTTCCCGCATCTATTTTAGTTTTTGAGTTATGACAGGTTTTATTATGGTGAGTTTCAGGACACCTGTATATTATAGACAGGATGTACAATAAAAACAATTATACAAATATATAAATATATTATCAAAAACCAAGATTTAAATAAAAAAGCTAAATCAAACACTTTTTTAATCCCTTTTTGTGAATCCCTCAATCCATTAATCTCTTTTCAAAATCCAAAATAAACTTTTTTCGTTCCGCCCCCCACTTATATTTACTTAAATCCCCATTTTTATTAATAACGCGATGGCACGGTACCAAATAAGCAATTTTATTCTTCGAGATAGCCCCAGCCACCGCTCTCACTGACTTTTTATCTCTCCCCATCATCTCCGCAACTTCCTCATAACTAACTGTGGTTCCACTTTCAATTTTAGTTAGCGCTTCCCAAGTTTTTATTTGAAAATCTGTACCTGTTAATACAATGTCGATAGGATCTAATAATTCGATTTTAATGTTCTCGATTTCATCATCTTGTGACATTTCGGAAAATATTTCTTCTTTAAAATCATTTTTTGTATCTTCTAATAAGTGGCAGTTGATGAAATCTTGTTGGATTGGCTCCAAATTTTGTGTTGAACTGTCTTGGAAGGATACGTGACAGATTTTTTCGTCGTAATATCCAATTAAAATGTTTCCCAAGGATTTTGTGGTTATGAATTTGTATGTTATCTCGAGATTCCTAGCTTCATTTTGAGGTAATATATGAATTGTTATATTCGGTTTCATTTTTCCCAAACACTTTATTATTTAATCTTTAATTTTAAATCAAAAATCGATTTTCACTTTTAGGTTATGTTGTTTATTTTTTTGACAGTTTTTTTAGGGATTTTAATTTTCTTTTTCTAATAATTATTTTTTTTGTTTTAATTTAAAATAATTAATCAAATTAACATTTAGAATTATTAATTATTAATGTTAAAATAAAAACAACATTAATAATTAATAAATTAAATTTAATCTTGTTACATTTTTTATCCAACAGTTGGCACTATAAATAACCAGATTTATTTACTAAATTTTTTTGACATCTGTCAAGTCATTTCAAATCTTCATCAAAATTTTACGTTAAAAATGGGGGTAAATCACCAAAATTAATCCGAATCAATTAATTATTTATTTCGTTTTAGGACGCCGAAATAAAAGATCCATTTTGCGACCCAAAAAACCCCGTGGTAGTCCCATTTTGCGAAATAGCGTCCGCTTCGATTTTAATCCGAGATGGAATTGTTAAAACACCTTGCGAAGTACCCCTTTTGCCCCTTCAAAAACCCCTCAAAAATAATTCCTTTTCCAGCTTTCCCGCATCACCGATCTCACCTGTATGAACGTTTATTTAAAAAAGGATTATATGCAATACACTGGAAAGTTAGTTATTTATTATTTTACGATTATTTTGGGATTAATTATTATTTTTTTTAGTTTTAAAGAACGAGGCGCTCGTTACGCCATGTTAAAATTAGATGAAGCATCGAAAAAACGCGGGTTGGTGAGCGCCTCCGCTGGAAATCACGCCCAAGCGATGTGTTGGCATGGTTTAAACCTTGGAATTCCTATTACGGTTGTAATGCCTATTACAGCTCCGATTATGAAGGTGCAAAGATGTCGGAAATTTAAAGCTAATGTAATCGTTGATGGGATTAATATGTATGAAGCGAAAAATATCGCTTTAAGATATGCCCGAGATAACAATGCTATTTATATAAGCGGGTAAAATTATTAATTAATTCATTATAATAACACTAGTTTAACAAATTTTAATCATACATATATTTAGATATATTAATCATTTATTTAGACAACTTTTTAATGAGATTAGATGATTACATACTTATTTTGAACAACCCAAAGTTGGATTAAATCAGTTCTAAATCATTTTGAATGTTCCCCAAACACCAATTAATCATTTACAACAATTTTTTCATAATTTAGACAACTTTATGATCATTATAAACTAATTTTCAACAATTTTGAACAACTTGGAATTGCCACAGAACAGTTTTAAATGATTTAGACAAGTTTGGAATGTTCCCCAGTCAGCAATTTATCATTTAATACAATTTTTCCATAATTTAGACAATCTTACAATGATTATAAACTTATTTTCAATGATTTTGAACAACTTGGAATTGCCACAGAGCAGTTTTAAATGATTTAGACAAGTTTTGAATGCTCACCAATCAGCAATGAATCATTTAAAACAAATTTTCTATAATTTAGACAACTATACAATGATTATAAACTAATTTTCTGTTATTTTAAACTATTGAAAATTGCATTAAATTAGTTCTAAATCATTTTGAATGTTCCCCAAGCAGCAATTAATCATTTGAAACAATTTTTTCATAATTTAGACAACTTTATGATCATTATAAACTAATTTTCAATTATTTTGAACAACTTGGAATTGCCACAGAGCAGTTTTAAATGATTTAGACAAGTTTTGAATGCTCACCAATCAGCAATTAATCATTTAAAGCAAGTTTTCCATAATTTAGACAACTATACAATGATTACAAACTCATTTTCTGTTATTTTGAACAACCCAAAATTGCATTAAATCAGTTCTAAATCATTTAGACAAGTTTTGAAAGGTCTCCAATCAGCAGTTAATCATTTAAAACAATTTTTCCATAATTTAGACAACTGTTTAATGATTACAAACTCATTTTCTGTTATTTTGAACAACCCAAAGTTGGATTAAATCAGTTCTAAATCACTTAGACAAGTTTTGAATGGTCTCCAATCAGCAGTTAATCATTTAAAACAATTTTTCCATAATCTAGACAACTTTTTAATGATTACAAACTAATTTTCTGTTATTTTGAACAACCCAAAGTTGGATTAAATCAGTTCTAAATCACTTAGACAAGTTTTGAATGGTCTCCAATCAGTAGTTAATCATTTGAAACAATTTTTCCATAATCTAGACAGCTTTTTAATGATTACAAACTAATTTTCTGTTATTTTGAATAACCCAAAATTGCATTAAATCAGTTCTAAATCATTTAGACAAGTTTTGAGTGTTCTCCAATCAGCAATTAATCATTTAAAACTATATTTCCATAATTTAGACAATTTTACAATGATTATAAACTAATTTTCAATAATTTTGAACAAATTGGAATTGCCATAGAACAGTTTTACATCATTTAGACAAGTTTTGAATGCTCACCAATTAGCAGTTAATCATTTAAAACAATTTTTCCATAATTTAGACAACTTTTTAATGATTATAAACTGATTTTCTGTTATTTTGAACAACCCAATGTTGGATTAAATCAGTTCTAAATCATTTAGACAAGTTTTGAATGGTCCCCAATCAGCAATTAATCGTTTAAAACAACTTTTTCATAATTTAGACAACTTTTCAATGATTACAAACTAATTTTCTGTCGTTTTGAACAATCAAAAATTGCATTAAATCAGTTCTAAATCATTTAGACAAGTTTTGAATGCTCCCCAACCAGCAATTAATGATTTAACACAATTTTTCTATAATTTAGACATCTTTACAACAATCATGAAGTAATTTTCAATAATTTTGAACAATTTGGAATTGCCACAGAACAGTTTTAAATCATGTAGACAAGTTTTGAAAGCTCCCCAATTAACAATAAATCATTTAAAACGATTTTGCCATAATTTAGACATCTTTTCAATGATTACAAACCAATTTTCAGTTATTGTGAACTACTAGGAAATGGTTCAAACCAGTTCTAAATCATTTAGACAAGTTTTGAAAGCTCCCCAATGAACAATAAATCATTTAAAACAATTTTGCCATAATTTAGACCAATTTTCAATTATTTTGAACAACCCGGAATTGGTTTAAACCAGTTTTAAATCATTTAGACACATTATCACAGCCTAAAAACTAGTGTAATTAATTAATTAAAATTTTTTAGTTATGATAATCCAGATGTTATAGCTGGTCAAGGAACTTGTGGGCTCGAAATTTTAGACCAAGTTCCTAACGTTGATGTTATCATAGTACCAACGGGTGGTGGGGGGCTTTTAGCTGGAGTTGCAGCTGCTGTTAAAACAGTTAAACCTTCCGTTAAGGTTTATGTAAGCATCAAATGATAATTTTATGTTCTAAACTTATTTTAGTTCTTTTAAAGGGTGTTGAATCGGTGAATTGTATGAGTTTCGCCGTTGCGATGAAAGCTGGGGGTCCAACACTAATTGAAGCAAAACCAACTTTAGCGGACGGTCTCGCAGTACCTTGTGTGGGTTATAATGCTTACGCAACCGCCAAAAAGTACATTGACGGGATGATTCAAGTCAAAGAAGAGGATATCGCCGTTGCAATTTTGAGATTAGTTGAGATTGAAAAAGCTATCGTTGAAGGATCGGGAGCTGCCCCTGTTGCTGCTGTTCTCTCGGGACAACTTGCGGGTGAATGCAAAAATAAAAAGTAAACTTATTTTTATTGATATACAGGTGTCTCAGCGAGATCGTTCATTAGACGGTTTTGGCCAAAATAAAAATTTGAGAATTCAGATTTAAGTATAATACCGGAAGTCGCCATTTACTTTTTTTTTAATGGAACACCCGGAATTTGTTATGAATTAACCTTTATTGGTTCAATATCAACAATTTTCATGCAGAAAATTTTCTCCCACCGGTTTTAGTTTTGAGGTTATGATTGATTTTTTGACATTTTTGACGTTTTCGCGTTATTCCTAGAAAATGGCGGTAGCTCGAATGAAACTTTGTTAAGAATTAAGCTGTATTGGTTCAATATCAACAATTTTTATACAAACCATTTCCTTCCAGCAGTTCTAGTTTTGAGGTTATGATTGATTTTTTGACGTTTTCGCGTTATTCCTAGAAAATGGCGGTAGCTCGAATGAAACTTTGTTAAGAATTAAGCTGTATTGGTTCAATATCAACAATTTTTATACAGAAAATTTTCTTCCAGCAATTCTAGTTTTGAGGTTATGATTGATTTTTTGACGTTTTCACTTTATTTCTAGAAAATGCCGATAGCTCGAATAAACCTTTGTTATGAATTAAGCTTTATTAGTTCAATATCAACAATTTTCATACAAACCATTTCCTTCCAGCTGTTCTAGTTTTGAGGTTATGATTGATTTTTTGACATTTTTGACGTTTTCGCTTCATTCCTAAAAAATGGCGATAGCTCGAATAAAACTTTGTTATGAATTAAGCTTTATTAGTTCAATATCAACAATTTTCATACTAACCATTTCCTTCCAGCTGTTCTAGTTTTGAGGTTATGATTGATTTTTTGACATTTTTGACGTTTTCGCTTTATTTCTAGAAAATGGCGATAGCTCGAATAAAGCTTTGTTATGAATTAAGCTTCATTGGTTCAATATCAACAATTTTCATACAAACCATTTCCTTCCAGCAGTTCTAGTTTTGAGGTTATGATTGATTTTTTGACGTTTTCGCTTCATTTCTTAAAAATGGCGATAGCTCGAATAAAACTTTGTTACGAATTAAGCTTTATTAGTTCAATATCTACAATTTTCATACAAACCATTTCCTTCCAACAGTTCTAGTTTTGAGGTTATGATTGATTTTTTGACATTTTTGACGTTTTCGCTGAAACACCCTGTATTATTTACTTAATTAATAAATTTTTTTAACTTTTTTAGTGTTGTATTGATTTGTTCAGGTGGAAACATCGACACAACCGTTTTAAGCCGTGTTCTTGATCGGGGATTAGCTTCGGATGGTCGATTAATAAAGACGTATGTCACAGTAAGTGATCGTCCGGGTGGTTTAGCCGAATTATTGCAGTTAATAACTTCGCTTGGAATCCCGGTTAAGCACATCAATCAAGAGAGAGCTTGGGTTAAATTGGATATTTTTAGCGTCGAAGTGAAATTAACGTGCGAAACTCGCGATTACGACCATGCTAAAGAATTAGAGTTCGCTTTAAAAGAGAAATATGGGGATAATGCGAGAATTGATTACGTTCAATTTCCCGCGAGTTCAGGCGCAAGCCGAAAGTTTTAAATAAAGATTATCTTTGATGTTTTATTTTAATTTAATTATTTATGTTTTGTAATTGTATTTGTTACAGTTGGTAGCGCTCAAATCATCCATTTTGAATTTTTGTTTTAAAATGTCAAGTTGTTGCGAGGTAAGATTTATTTTATTAATAATTTAAGGATTTGTTATAGGGAATCGATTTGGTTAAACGCGAAATGGAATAATTAATTAAAGTTAGAATGGGTTATTTATTTATATATATTTATTAAAAATTAATTGACTTTATATGTAACATTAATTATTTTATAGTTGGTAGTATTGAAATCATCCATTTTGAATTTGAAATGTCAAAAAAAATTTAATGCAAGGGAGGTAAGAATTTATTTTGTATAATTAAACTATTAATTATTATTTGGTGAATCAGTCGTAATTAACGTAAAAAGGAAAATATTGACCAATTTAATACAAAAATAGATCTTCTAAGAGTAAATGAGGTGATAAATAAATTAATAGACACCAAGTTATAACCTCAAAATTAATAAAGTTTAAATTAACCTAAAGTTCGGTATGAATTGGTTTTAATTCTTCTATCCTTTGTATAAATTCCGACTTTTCAATGCACCCTTGACAATCTTCGCCCCAATCATTGATGATTTTTTTGAGATCACGAACTTTTAATTTTTTAAGATCGACCGTTTTTAAATCGATCTCAACGTCGTAACGTAAATCGCAAATTTGAGCATCTTTTTTCTTGAGTTTCTCGCAGATTTTATCCGAAGGCATCGACCATGATAAAGGTTTCGACATTTCACCTAAAATACCAGTTGCCGATTCCTCCAATCCACCTAAATAATAACAAAATCGATTCTCTTTGTTTTTAACAGTCTTGCAAAACTCTTTAAACTTCTCCTCGATTAATTTCGGCTCCTTTTTTGTTGCGTCAGAGAGGGTTTTCTCGAATTTATCCAACGTTTTTATACAAACTAAAACACAAATTTTTTTTTGATTTTAGGGTTAAAGTGATTTATTTGAATTACCTTCACAATCGCCGGGTTTTAAAGCATCCACCGCTAACACACCGACGAAGAATAGCAGTAAATAACCGAAATAATCCATCGTTTTGAAAGGTATGTAACTTTTTGAGGTTAAGTTGTTATTTAGACACGTTTGGGTCGATTCGTTTGGAGCGCGACGTGGTGATTGATGTTTTAAGAAAGGGGATTCTCGTTTAAAATCGTTTAATGGGACACGTATTTAAATTGCAGGAGGATTGCTTTTCGTGGCTTTTCATTCAGAATTACGTTGGACGCTCCGGATTGGTCCACGTCGAAATGGTGGTGCCAACTTTAAAATAATCGTTTTTATTTAAGGTAAGTTATTAATTTCTTTTTATTTTGGTTTAAATTTGTTTTCGGGTGATTTAAATTATTATTTTGGTTAAAAATTGTTTTTAATTTGATGTGTTTTTGAGGTTATTCTTTTAATTCGGAATAGTTTCGCTATTTGATAATAGATGGCGCAATTTCAATAATAACTTAATAGGAATCTGCTCGAACGGTAACCATACATTTATTTATTTAATTGAATTTAATTAAAAGAGAATTAAGATTTAAGAATATATTTTCTCTTATATCATGAAACATCACTTTATATACAAAAGAATTAGCGATTTGAAAAGGACATAAAATGAATTAACGAAATTACCGTCATTAATTATTATTTATTATTATATCTTCATTGTGTTTTTAATTATTTTTAATGATTTAATAGCGTTTTAATTTCGTCTTGCGTGATCTTATTACAAGTAAGTTTTATTATAAATTAATCAAGGAAATTTTAACAGATAATTTGTTGCTTACCCCATCTAGCGGTAGCACCCGGTATTAAATCGTTTTTGACATTTAGAGAAGCGCTTCAAATTATTAAAGTTTGTGAGAAAGTAAGTTTAATTGAACCGAAAAACGTTTTTGAAGTCGATTATCTCTGTAGTACTTAGTGGATATCATATTGGAGGCGATTATCACAACGAGCATTAAAGGTATGTGGTGGTTTCAATATTAAAAAAGATATTACAATTTTTTGATACATGACAGCGACTAATTGACATTTTACATTAATCCTAATTTCATTTACATAATGTCAATTTTGCTTATTTAATTTTTGATTAATAATTAAAAAATTTAAATGATAAATACGCGGATGTTTATGATATGTTTACTCAACGGACCTTGGTACATATGTAATTTTTTGAGGTTAGGTTATTATTTAGACACGTTTGAGTCGATTGTTATAAAATGATGTTTTTCGAAAAAATTGTTTTAATAAAAGCTTTTTATAATTTCATTTGAAACAAATTTTGTTTAAAAAATTTTTTGATTCGATCAATAATTAGAAAGATAACCTCAAAAAACGATTTTTTATACCAGTGTGGAGCCCCATCTGGTGGAGATATCGCAAAATTTTATTAAAACAAATCATTTTAAATGATATTCTAAACAGATATTATACGAAACATTTTTCGATTAATACAATTTTATGAGATTCGCCTTAATTTAAAATGAGTCATTTCGGATCATTTTGATTTAATTGTTATAAAATGATGTTTTTCAAAAAATTGTTTTAATAAAAGCTTTTTATAATTTCATTTGAAACAAATTTTGTTTAAAAAATTTTTTGATTCGATCAATAATTAGAAAGATAACCTCAAAAAACGATTTTTTATACCAGTGTGGAGCCCCATCTGGTGGAGATATCGCAAAATTTTATTAAAACAAATCATTTTAAATGATATTTTAAACAGATATTATACGAAACATTTTTCGATTAATACAATTTTATGAGATTCGCCTTAATTTAAAATGAGTCATTTCGGATCATTTTGATTTAATTGTTATAAAATGAAGTTTTTCGAAAAAATTGTTTTAATAAAAGCTTTTTATAATTTCATTTGAAACAAATTTTGTTTAAAAAAAATTTTGATTCGATCAATAGTTAGAAAGATAACCTCAAAAAACAATTTTTTATACCAGTGTGGAGCCCCATCTGGTGGAGATATCGCAAAATTTTATTAAAGCAAATCATTTTAAATTAAATTAAAGTTTTCATATAGCAAAAAAATAAACGTTGCATTAAAATGGCGGATAATAACAAATAAAATTAATTTGATGTTTACAAAGTGAGGTTAGCTTTTAATTTTGTGCATAATCACGTGGGAAAGTAAAAATCCTTTAATTTGAGTCCAAACACGACCGAATTATCTTAAAAAACACCCGAGATATCCCACATTTAATTTTGACATAACCTCAAAAAAGTGACAACCGGAAGTTGGTGGTGTATGTTGTTTTTTAAGATAACTCGACCGAGTTTGGGCTCATTTTAAAGGGAATTTAATGTAGATTACGAATACGATGTTAGATTAATCAAATTCGATAGTAATAAAAACAAAATGGAAGATGATTAAAAAAAAAATGATTCGATTTCAACGAAATTAAATTCGCCCGGTATTTTTAGACCCAGAAATAAAGAATTTTATTACTATTTAATTAAAATTATTAATCAAGATGGCGAAAAATATCAAACAACATCAATTTGACGTTTACAAAGTGAGGTTAGGTTCTTTTTTTATTCATAATCGGGTGGGGAATTAAAAATCCTTTAAATCGAGTCCAAACACGACCCAATTATCTTAAAAAACACCCGAGATATCCCACATTTAATTTTGACATAACCTCAAAAAAGTGACAACCGGAAGTTGGTGGTGTACGTTGTTTTTTAAGATAACTCGACCGAGTTTAGGCTCATTTTAAAGGGAATTTAATGTAGATTACGAATACGATGTTAGATTAATCAAATTCGATAGTAATAAAAACAAAATGGAAGATGATTAAAAAAAAAATGATTCGATTTCAACGAAATTAAATTAGCCCGGTATTTTTAGACCCAGAAATAAAGAATTTTATTACTATTTAATTAAAATTATTAATCAAGATGGCGAAAAATATCAAACAACATCAATTTGACGTTTACAAAGTGAGGTTAGGTTCTTTTTTTATTCATAATCGGGTGGGGAATTAAAAATCCTTTAAATCGAGTCCAAACACGACCCAATTATCTTAAAAAACACCCGAGATATCCAACATTTAATTTTGACATAACCTCAAAAAAGTGACAACCGGAAGTTAGTGGTGTTTGTTGTTTTTTAAAATAACTCGACCGAGTTTGGGCTCATTTTAAAGGGAATTTAATGTAGATTACGAATACGATGTTAGATCAATCAAATTCGATAGTAATAAAAACAAAATGGAGGATGATTTAACAAAAATTGTTCGATTTCAACGAAATTAAATTCGCCGCGTATTTTTAGATCTAGAAATAAAGAATTTTATTATTATTTAATTAAAATTATTAATCAAGAGATGAAAAATATCAAATAATATCAATTTGACGTTTACAATGTGAGGTTAGGTTCTTTTTTTATTCATAATCGGGTGGGGAATTAAAAATCAATTAAAATTTATAAATTGTAGAAATAGATTTATTGTTAAATAGATAAAAAAATTTCATTTGAATATTGATCCTTATATTGCGCCATCTATTATCACGATGACGCACCATAATTGTTTTAATTATTATTTTTATCTTCTTCATTATGTTTTTAATTATTTTTAATGATTTAATAGCGATTTAATTTCGTGTTGCGTGATCTTATTACAAATAAGTTTTATTATAAATGAATCAAGGAAATTTTAACAGATAATTTGTTGCTTACCCCATCTAGCGGTACCATCCGGTATTAAATCGTTTTTGACATTTAGAGAAGCGCTTCAAATTATTAAAGTTTGCGAGAAAGTAAGTTTAATTGAACCGAAATACGTTTTTGAAGTCGATTATCTCTGTAATATTTAGTGGATATCATATTGGAGGTGATTATCACAACGAGCATTAAAGGTATGTGGTGGTTTCAATATTAAAAAAGATATTACAATTTTTTTGATACATGACAGTGACTAATTGACATTTTTGATTAATAATTAAAACATTTTCGAGCTCGACGTGGTTATTGATGTTTTAAAAAAAGGGGATTCTCGTTTAATGGGACACGTATTTAAATTGCGTTTTTGAGGTTATTCTTTTAATTCGGAATAGTTCCGCCGTTGGATAATAGATGGCGCAATTTCGATAATAACTCAATAGGAATCTGCACGAAAGATTTATTTATTTAATTGAATTTAATTAAAACGAAATTTAAGAATATATATGAATATATTTTCTCTTGTATCATGGAACATCGTTTTATATACAAAAGAATTACTTAACGATATGCGATTTGAAAACGACACAAAATGAATTAACTAAACTAATAATTAATTTGTCCTCCATTATTGTCTAATAACATTAATTAATTAATATTGTCACATAATCCTGCAGTCCTTACAAAATATATAAGATTAATCGTATATAAAATATATATTTATATATTTTAACGGTTTTTGCTTAAACTCTAGTAACATTTCCCGCCCACGCGGGGAATTCGTTAACTCCAAAAACGGGTGGCCCCAAAAGTGGGAAAATAGCGAAAAGGACTAAAATCGAAATGATCGAAACGCCTAATCCGGCTTTGACCATTTCTTTGGTTGGGATGTTGCAAGGGGCCGCTGCGATTGCGTTAGGGGGGGTTCCCACTGGAAGACAAAACGCGTGCGAGCACGCCAATGCAACAGGCATCATCAGGTACAAAGGGTGCCATTTTGCGGCTAAAGATATCTCGGCCAAAACGGGTAATAAAACGTTCGCAACGGCCACATTGCTCGAAAATTCCGTCAAAATACTCGCGAAAGTGGATGCGATCACTAAAACAGCGAACGGCGGTAATTTGGCTAAAGGGCCCAAACTATCAGCGATTAAGATGCTCATTCCGCTCACATTTGAGCCTTCTGCTAAAGCAAATCCACCCCCTAATAGAAAAATTAGCCCCCACGGTAATTTTTGTTGCACGACTTTCCATGTTATTAAAGCTGGAGATGGAGTTTTTGCTCGCTCCGATTTGTCCGTTTTGAACCAATAAATAAAATCGGGTTTCGCTGGGATGATGAATAAAAGCATCACGACGATTAATGCAGCCGTTGCGTCTTTAACCTAAAACAAAAAACATAATAAATCAACATTTTTTTTTAATCAAATCGATTTTTTTACCTAAATCAATACATTTAACCCAAATAAATCCAACTCAAACCCCCTAATCTTCTTTTTACAACTCCTCGTTAAACTATTATACTTAATATTAACCAATCGGATCTTAGATAACGATTTAAAACCTTTCTCAGAAAAACACCCGATTTGATTATGACTCAAATTCAACTCGGTTAACTCCTCAAAACTTTCAGCGACCTTATCGGTTATAATTTCGATTTGATTCTCGGATAAATCGATGGAATAAAAATTAATCACCCCAAATGCCTCGTCAACGATCCTTTTAATCCTATTCTTATTCAATTTCAACATCAACCTCGAATTTTTCGTATTAAAAAAACAATTTTGTGATAACTCATCAATAAAATTATTGGTAAACGATAACACACCCAAATAAGTTCCTTTAAACCACTCGGAATTGATTTTTTTAATCAAATTATTATCCAAAATTAAAATTTTTAAATTCGGCATGTTATCGAATGCGTCCCCTTCGATGTGGTCGATTAAATTTCCGTTTAAATTTAACGTTTTTAGTAGTCTCAAATTGTTGAATACGCCGTGTTTGATTTCTTTGATTCTGTTGTAGTTGAGTAAAAGGGTTTCGAGTTTTGGTAGGTTCCAAAAACAGCTTGGTTTTAACGTTTTTAATTGGACGTCGGTGATGTTGAGACATTTTAAGTTGGGTAGATTGCTTACGTCGCCGCTGTTTAATTTATTTACGATCGTATCGATGAGATTTATCGATAAAAATTCGCGCAAGTTGCTTAAATGGGTGTTGTAGATGGTGCGATGTGTCGAAAAGGACGTTTTGCAATCGTACGTTACGGCTACGTTGACGTTTTTTAAATCGCACTCGATTTTATCGATTAAAAGATAGAAAAGAAACGTTTTTAAAACGAATTTTAACTTTAACATTTTTTTTATTCCACTGATTTTAATTAAATTGAGTTGAGATTAATTATTAATGAAGGAAAGTTAAAGACTAACACTGTTTGTTTAGTATTTTGAGTTTTGACCTCAATAATATTATTATTTGACTTTGATCCTAATTTTTTTTTGCTAAAAAAAACCTTATCGGGATTAAAAAAAAGTTTAACAAACAATAAGAATATTTTAAACCTCTTAAAATATTCTTTTCGGCTTCTTTATGAGTTTAGAATACAATCAAAAGGTCATCGATTGTTCGATTTAAAAAAAAATCGCCTCGATTTAAAAACAAAGGGCGTAAGATGACTAAAATTAAACATTGAATCTATTTTTTTTTTTTTTAATTAATAATTACAGATTTAAAATAACGCCCTGAAGATGGGGTATTTATGTTGAAATCGGTGCAACAAAAATGTTTCTAATTGAATGTTTTATGCCTTTTATATATTTAAAAACGAAGGTGAGGAATTCGATTTCTATACTGTTCAGAGGGAAATTAAAAAATTAATAATTTCAAAAAATGTTGCTAACAAAAGTTGTTCCTTTTTTGATCCTTAACAAGTTTTATTTGAAAAATATTTTGATAGAAACAATAATTAGGAAGATAATCTTGAATTCCATTACCATACTATTCACAGGGAAATTAAAAAATTGATAATTTTCAAAAATGTTTTAATAAAGCTAATTACACTCTCAAATACAGCATAAAATAAGCTTAATGATGTCAATTTGATCAAGACATGTTATATTTTGAAAAATTTGACAGCTAAACAGTTGAAAATTTTGTTAATAAAATATTTTGTTAACAAAATTTTCAAGTTACAAAATTGTCATGACAAAATTGACATCATTAGGAAGCTTATTTTACACTGTGAAATTAGTTACAAAAATTTTTGAAAATAATTTTTTAATTTCCCTCTGAATAGTACAGAAATAAAATTCAAAATTATCTTCATAATTATTCTTTGTATCAAAATTTGTTTGAAATAAAATTTGTTAAGAATCAAAAAAGGAACAACTTTTGTAGGGACCATTTTTTAAAATAATCAATTTTTTAATTTCCCTCTGAATAGTACAGAAATAAAATTCAAAATTATTTTCCTAATTATTGATTGTATCAAAATAGTTTTTAAATAAAACTTGTTAAGAATTAAAAAAGGAACAACTTTTGTAGGCACAATTTTTGAAAATTATTAATTTTTTAATTTCCCTCTGAACAGTACAGAAATAAAATTCAAAATTATCTTCCTAATTATAGTTTCTATCAAAATATTTTTCAAATAAAACTTGTTAAGAATCAAAAAAGAAACAACTTTTGTAGGCACCATTTTTAATTTCCCTCTGAATAGTACAGAAATAAAATTCAAAATTATCTTCCTAATTATTCTTTGTATCAAAATTTGTTTGAAATAAAATTTGTTAAGAATCAAAAAAGGAACAACTTTTGTAGGCACCATTTTTTAAAATAATCAATTTTTTCATTTCCCTCTGAATAGTACAGAAATAAAATTCAAAATTATCTTCCTAATTATTCTTTATATCAAAATTTTTTTGAAATAAAACTTGTTAAGAATCAAAAAAGGAACAACATTTGTAGGCACCATTTTTTAAAATAATCAATTTTTTCATTTCCCTCTGAATAGTACAGAAATAAAATTCAAAATTATCTTCCTAATTATTCTTTGTATCAAAATATTTTTCAAATAAAACTTGTTAAGAATTAAAAAAGGAACAACTTTTGTAGGCACCATTTTTTAAAATTATTAATTCTTAATTTCCCTGTGAACAGTATAGTAATAGAATTCAAAATTGTCTAAGTTATTCCACCTCCAGTCGTTCTTCTTCTTTTGTGATATATAAGATCTTACTTTTGTTCTTGTTTATCACATATTTGGATGTTTCTTTGTAGGACATATACTCTGCCTGACTTTAAAACAACATCGTCCGCGTATATAAGGCTTCGAGTGTAAACCAGGTTAGGTTGTGGTAATCTCGTCTACGTAGTTTGTTTTTTGACTCGCTTTATTATTCTGTCCAGGTATGATACAAAGAATAGTGAGCTTAAACTATCACCCTGTTTCACTGTACTCATTCTGAATTCTTCTGACGTCTTTCTTTTCAGTTTAACCCCTCCCTTTGTAAAAGTTATTGTCTCATAAGTATTTTTGGAGATATTAAGCCAGTTCCATACTTAATAAACACTTGTACATATATACATTTCTAATCCATATCATTTCTTCTGAATGGTTTTCGAATTTCGTCAGCCGGTTTGAATTTGAATGCGAAACACAATACGTATATAACAACACCCCTGTATAACGTTAACAGGTTATGTCACAGCTGATCAAAGGAAGAGCAGCCATATTGTTATGAACATCGCGCGTGTCAATCAACATAACCTCAAACAACTTTATAATTATGGTTTAAAAAAACAAAGTTACCTTCATATCGGTGATAAATTCGGTCCATCCGGGTATAAATTGCGGTTTACGGAAGAACCACAAAAACACAGCCAAAACGAACATCAATCCAACCATCGCCTCGTGGAAACTAATCGGCCCCATTTCCTCCAATTTCTGCCGGATGACTTTTTGCGCCACCTGTTCCCCTTGTTTTCCAAGCCTGATTCGTTTAGCGTCTTCAGAGTTCGGCCTGAACATTCCCATGTACATTACTTGGAGCCAAATCCACGTCAAAAACATCGTCACCAACATTATCGGCACGTTCAAAAACATCCAAGCGGCGAATTCAACTCCCGGACTGTTTGGAAAACGTGTTTCGTAAATTCCTATAAGTAAAAATCATTTCATTATTAATTAAATTGATTTAAAATAATTTTTTTTAATAAAATAAAAATGACGTTTAAGTAACTAGGTTAACCTACAAAAATGAACTGTCACAATTAAAGATTCCTTTTTTTTTTGTTGCGTCATTTTAAATTGTTCCGTTATTTATGTTTTTAAGTGAAATGAATGATTAAAATTAAACGAAAAGATAGAAAAATAAACAAATGTGAGTTTCATTATTAATTAAATTATTTAAAATAATTTTTTTAATAAAATGAAAATGACGTTTAAGCAACTAGGTTAACTCACAAAAGTGAACTGACACAATTACAGATTCCTTTTTTTGTTGCGTCATTTTAAATTGTTATTAAGTTATTTATGTTATGAAGTGAAATGAGTGATTAAATTTTAAGTTTGATTTAATTTTAATGAATTTTTTTATGGTTGGCAATAAATAATTTCACGTTTACTGAAAAAAATAAGTCAATAAATACAAATAAAAACAAAACGTTGCGTTAAAATGGCGGATAATAACGAATAAAATTAATTTGACATTTGCAAAGTGAGGTTAGGTTTTATCTTTGTGCATAATCACGTGGGAAATTAAAAATCCTTTAATTTGAGTCCAAACACGACCAAATTATCTGAAAAAACACCCGAGATATCCCACATTTCATTTTGACATAACCTCAAAAAAGTGACAACCGGAAATTAGTGGTGTTTGTTGTTTTTTAAAATAACTCGACCGAGTTTGGGCTCATTTTAAAGGGAATTTAATGTAGATTACGAATACGATGTTAGATCAATCAAATTCGATGGTAATAAAAACAAAATGGAGGATGATTTAAGAAAAACGATTCGATTTCAACGAAATTAAATTCGCCGGGTATTTTTAGATCTAAAAATAAAGAATTTTATTATTATTTAATTAAAATTATTAATCAAGGTGGCGAAAAATATCAAACAATATCAATTTGACGTTTACAAAGTGAGGTTAGGTTCTTTTTTTATTCATAATCGGGTGGGGAATTAAAAATCCTTTAAATCAAGTCCAAACTCGACCCGATTATCTCAAAAAACACCCGAGATATCTAACATTTAATTTTGACATAACCTCAAAAAAGTGACAACCGGAAGTTGGTTGTCTTTTAAGATAACTCGACCGAGTTTGGGCTCGTTTTAAAGAGAATTTAATATAGATTACGAATACGATGTTGGATTAATTAAATTCTGTCAAAATAAACACAAAATGATACGATTTGAACGAAATTAAGTTAGTGGGGGACTTTTCGCTATTATTTAATTAAAATTATTAATCAAAATGGCGGAAAATATCAAATAATATTAATTTGACGTTTATAAAGTGAGGTTGGGTTTTTTATTTATACAAAAACAATAATCAACAAAATGAAAAATTAAGGTTGGTACTTTAGAAAGTACTCTTTTGGACATTTTTTAAAATGTTCTGGCTATCTTTATAAGCATCTAGAAAGCGTTTAGATACTTTTGATATTCATGGCAATCATTAGAAAGTTTCAGGACAATTTTTAGCTACTATAGAAATCATTAAATACCTTCTGGACACTTTTTGACAACTATACTAATCATTAAGAAATTTTTTCATGATTATAGAAATCATTAGACAGCTTCTAGAATTGTCCAGAAAGCTTTTAGATACTTTTTAATAATCGTGGCAATCATTAGATATCGCCTGGACACTTTTTGACATCTTTAAAACCCCTCTGGATGTCTTCATAAACGCCCAGAAAGCNATAAAATAAAAATGACGTTTAACCAACTAGGTTAACCCACAATTACAGATTCCTTTTTTTGTTGCGTCATTTCAAATCGTTTGTTGTTAAGTTATTTATGTTATTATGATTAAAAGTAAACGAAAGGATGGAAAAACAAATAAATGTGAGTTAGATAAGATTACCTCAATTTTAAATCGTATTTTACATATATTGTTGTGATTTACCTTTAAACGTTAAATTGGTTCCACTTCCAACAATACACCCCATCCCCCCAATACTAGAAGCATAGGCGGCCCCCAAAAAATAACAAATCGTCGTTTTGCTCGGTCTTTTTTGCTCAATTTGTTTTTGTTGATTCGGTTCGCCTTCTTTTGCAACAACATCATTTTTTTCTTTGTTATTTTCTTTATCGCCGTCTTCAATTTCTTCGTCTTTTTCATAAACAGATCCGATTCCTTGGCTTTCTAGCTCCTTTAAGGTGGCCTCCATAATCGGGCACATCATGGCGATCGCGGCCGTGTTCGAAATCCACATAGAAACGAACATTGCGACCGCGACTAATCCGAAGTTTAATTTCCTAGGGCTACATCCAACGAGTAAAATAACGTAAAGGGCCACTCTTCGATGTAGGTTGCAATACTCGACTGCGATTGCGATTATTAATCCGCCCACGAACATCATGTTGGTTTCTTTTAGATAACAAACCGATGTTCGATCTGAATCCAATATTCCCATTAACGGGAAAAGGACCATGGGGATTAGGGCTGTTACTGGGAGCGGGAGGGCTTCGGTCACCCAAAGTCCTGCCATTAATAGGACCACGTAGAGACATCGCAATGCGGGGGTGTTGTTGGAGGTGAAAACGGGGAGAAGGATTAGGGGGAAAATTACTACGAAGATTGCTCTCCAATAGATTTGGAGGAATTTTCTTAAGTCTTTAATCGCCATCTCGAATTAATCTGGAAATTAAATTAAACCAAATTAGTACATAATCATCTTAGCGACACTTAACTTTTAAAATTTTTATTTATAGATACATTTTTATCGTTGAATTTTGAACCCCACCAACATGTTTTAATTAGATTATCAAAAAACAAGAAAAAAATTGGGTTTAAAGTACTTTTTTATATAACAATTTTTTAGTTGATGATGATAATAATAATAATAATAACCTTTTTTGAGTTTCCTCCCGACGAAAAATAACCCATCATTACTTATTAATTATGTTTCCTCTGACAACACACGTGCGGTTATTGAGCGCCACGTGAGACGCGAAATTGACCCTAAAACTATCGAAGATAACCTTGATTTTGTTAACTATATGCGTAAAGAATTAAAACGAATCTTTAATAGAGCTAATTCGCACGCGATTCAAAAAATTGACGTTTCAAAATGAATCGTCACAAAGTTCAAATTTCGTTTGCGCACGCTTGATCTCGAAAATTCCTTCCATTTGATACCAAAAACGACGTAAATAATAAATAATAAATTAATCAATAAGTAATTTATTTATTTTTTTTTGATTTCGATGAGGTTCTTTTAATCGAATTAGAAGTAATAAAACGACGAGTTTTATTTTTCATTTGGGGATCGATCTAAAAATAAATCGAGCCTCATTGACGTTCATAAAGTGCATATCGGTATCGAATTACGGTCATCATTTGACTATTAATGATGCGTTTAATAAAAGATATTCGCGTTCGCCCGAATTATTTAAAAAGTAAGTAATTTTGATGTTTTTTGAAAGAGTTAATGTCAACTTTAATTTTATTATTATATTCGTAATCTTTATAAAAAATCCTTTAAAACGAGTCCAAACTCGACATATTTAACTTTGATATTAACGGAGATACAATCACTTCCGGTTTGAAACGTCAATTTTGACATATTTGTCATCTTTATTAAAAAACCTTTTAAATGAGTCCAAACATGACGTATTTATCTCAAAAAACAAAAAAGTTAGAATAAAAAAACATTAAACCCGAAGTTGGCAACAATGATTTTTAAATATTAATACCAACCTTAATTTTTGATTTTTTTTATTATATTTTTGTTTTTGTGACAAATTTTAAGACATTTTGTAAAATTAAAATGACATTGACATTTCAAACCGGAAGTTGCTTATATCTCGAGAAATATTGGAATTAAACGTATCATGTTTGGGCTCATTTTAACGGATGTTTCATGACGATTACAAATACGTCAAAATCGAGGTTGACATTTCTAACCGGAAGTTGACCATAACTTCATTTTTAAAATGAGTCCAAACATGACGCACTTATCTCAAAAAACAAAAAAGTTTGAATAAAAAACATTAAACCCGAAGTTAGCAACAATGAAGATAGCAATTTAATTTTTAAATATTAATACCAACCTTAATTTTTGATTTTTTTTATTATATTTTTGTTTTTATCATAAATTTTAAGACATTGTATAAAAATTAAGAATATGTCAAAATGACATTGACATTTCAAACCGGAAGTTGCTTATATCTCGAGAAATATTGGAATTAAACGTATCATGTTTGGGCTCATTTTAACGGATGTTTCATGACGATTACAAATACGTCAAAATCGAGGTTGACATTTCTAATCGGAAGTTGACCATAACTTCGTTAATATTGAAGATAAATATGTCGTGTTTGTACTCATTTTAAAGGATTATTAATGAAGATTACAAATATGTCAAAATTGAAATTGACATTTTAAACCTGAAGTTAGTTATCAATGGCAACTTTAATTTTATTATTATATTAGTAATCTCTATAAAATAACCTTTAAAATGAATCCAAACATGACGTATTTATCTCAAAAAACAAAAAAGTTAGAATAAAAAACATTAAATCCGAAGTTAGCAACAATTTAATTTTTAAATATTAATACCAACCTTAATTTCTGATTTTTTTTTATTATACTTTTGTTTTTATCATAAATTTTAAGACATTGTATAAAAATTAAGAATTTGTCAAAATGACGTTGACATTTCAAACCGGAAGTTTNGATCGATCTAAAAATAAATCGAGCCTCATTGACGTTCATAAAGTGCATATCGGGATCGAATTACGGTCATCATTTGACTATTAATGATGCGTTTAATAAAAGATATTCGCGTTCGCCCGAATTATTTAAAAAGTAAGTAACTTTGATGTTTTTTGAAAGAGTTAATGTCAACTTTAATTTTATTATTATATTCGTAATCTTTATAAAAAATCCTTTAAAATGAGTCCAAACTCGACATATTTAACTTTGATATTAACGGAGATACAATCACTTCCGGTTTGAAACGTCAATTTTGACATATTTGTCATCTTCATTAAAAAACCTTTTAAATGAGTCCAAACATGACGTATTTATCTCAAAAAACAAAAAAGTTAGAATAAAAAAACGTTAAGCCCGAAGTTGGCAACAATGATTTTTAAATATTAATACCAACCTTAATTTTTAATTTTTTTTTTGTGACTAATTTTAAGATATTTCATAAAATTAAGAATATATCAAAATGACATTGACATTTCAAACCGGAAGTTGCTAATATCTCGAGAAATATTAGAATTAAACGTATCATGTTTGGGCTCATTTTAAAGGATTTTTCACGACGATTACAAATATGTCAAAATTGAGGTTGACATTTCTAACCGGAAGTTGACCATAACTTCATTAATATTGAAGATAAATATGTCGTGTTTGTACTCATTTTAAAGGATTTTTAATGAAGATTACAAATATGTCAAAATTGAAATTGACGTTTTAAATCTGAAGTTAGTTATCAATGGCAACTTTAATTTTATTATTATATTCGTAATCTCTATAAAATAACCTTTAAAATAAGTCCAAACATGACGTATTTATCTCAAAAAACAAAAAAGTTAGAATAAAAAAACATTAAATCCGAAGTTAGCAACAATTTCATTTTTAAATATTAATACCAACCTTAATTTCTGATTTTTTTTATTATATTTTTGTTTTTATCATAAATTTTAAGACATTGTATAAAAATTAAGAATTTGTCAAAATGACATTGACATTTCAAACCGGAAGTTGCTTATATCTCGAGAAATATTGGAATTAAACGTATCATGTTTGGGCTCATTTTAAAGGATGTTTCACGACGATTACAAATACGTCAAAATCGACGTTGACATTTCTAACCGGAAGTTGACCATAACTTCATTAATATTGAAGATAAATATGTCGTGTTTGTACTCATTTTAAAGGATTTTTAATGAAGATTACAAATATGTCAAAATTGAGGTTGACATTTCTAACCGGAAGTTGACCATAACTTCATTAATATTGAAGATAAATATGTCGTGTTTGTACTCATTTTAAAGGATTTTTAATGAAGATTACAAATATGTCAAAATTGAACTTGACATTTTAAACCTGAAGTTAGTTATCAATGGCAACTTTAATTTTATTATTATATTCGTAATCTCTATAAAATTACCTTTAAAATGAGTCCAAACATGACGTATTTATCTCAAAAAACAAAAAAGTTAGAATAAAAAAACATTAAATCCGAAGTTAACAATTGAATTTTTAAATATTAATACCAACCTTAATTTCTGATTTTTTTTATTATATTTTTGTTTTTATCATAAATTTTAAGACATTTTATAAAAATTAAGAATTTGTCAAAATGACATTGACATTCCAAACCGGAAGTTGCTTATATCTCGAGAAATATTGGAATTAAACGTATCTTGTTTGGGCTCATTTTAAAGGATTTTTCACGGCGATTACAAGTATGTCAAAATTGAGGTTGACATTTATAACCGGAAGTTGATCATAACTTCATTAATATTGAAGATAAATATGTCGTGTTTGTACTCATTTTAAAGGATTTTTAATGAAGATTACAAATGTGTCAAAANCTTAACCGGAAGTTGACCATAACTTCATTAATATTGAAGATAAATATGTCGTGTTTGTACTCATTTTAAAGGATTTTTAATGAAGATTACAAATGTGTCAAAATTGAAATTGACATTTTAAACCTGAAGTTAGTTATCAATGGCAACTTTAATTTTATTATTATATTCGTAATCTCTATAAAATTACCTTTAAAATGAATCCAAACATGACATATTTATCTCAAAAAACAAAGAAGGTAGAATAAAAAACATTATCCGAAGTTAGCAACAATTTAATTTTTAAATATTAATACCAACCTTAATTTCTGATTTTTTTTATTATATTTTTGTTTTTATCATAAATTTTAAGACATTGTATAAAAATTAAGAATTTGTCAAAATGACATTGACATTTCAAACCGGAAGTTGCTTATATCTCGAGAAATATTGGAATTAAACGTATCATGTTTGGGCTCATTTTAAAGGATTTTTCACGACGATTACAAATATGTCAAAATTGAGGTTGACATTTCTAACCGGAAGTTGACCATAACTTCATTAATATTGAAGATAAATATGTCGTGTTTGTACTCATTTTAAAGGATTTTTAATGAAGATTACAAATATGTCAAAATTGAAATTGACATTTTAAACCTGAAGTTAGTTATCAATGGCAACTTTCATTTTATTATTATATTCCTAATCTCTATAAAATAACCTTTAAAATGAGTCGAAACATGACGTACTTATCTCAAAAAACAAAAAATTTTGAATAAAAAACATTAAATCCGAAGTTAGCAACAATTTAATTTTTAAATATTAATACCAACCTTAATTTCTAATTTTTTTTATTATATTTTTGTTTTTATCATAAATTTTAAGACATTGTATAAAAATTAAGAATTTGTCAAAATGACATTGACATTTCAAACCGGAAGTTGCTTATATCTCGAGAAATATTGGAATTAAACGTATCATGTTTGGGCTCATTTTAAAGGATTTTTCACGACGATTACAAATATGTCAAAATTGAGGTTGACATTTCTAACCGGAAGTTGACCATAACTTCATTAATATTGAAGATAAATATGTCGTGTTTGTACTCAT